TATCTAGATTTAAAGTGTCACAATGTCTGCAACCAATTCTCGGAAAAAAACAAAAAAACCAACCATGTGTGCTTATCCGTGTGGAGAGAGAGAGAGTGAGTGCACAAATGTGGCAAACTGTTGTTCCGGAGTCTGAGTGAAGGAGATATGGGTATTAGGTGTACTACTGTTGATATTTTTCTATAAATGTAACATTGTTCAAAATAAAAAGTTAGCAAAAAAACACCTTCATGCCTCTGGTAACTTTTGTTAGTTTGCAAAAATAGTATAAATGATATAGTTGAAGAATTAGGTAATTAATACTTGTCTTTATCAGTGGTATGTCATTGTTTTATCCAGGATAGCCATGGTTGGTCCTGTTATGATGCTATCTTTAATAATATTGTCACTTTAGGGTTGTTTTTTTTTTTTAATTGAAAAGAGTTTTTTATAAAACTCTTGAGCATCCAATAATAGGATTAGGAGGGACCGAAGAAGATATATTGTCTAATTCCCTATTAAGTGAATAGATTAATTAGGTGGAGGACTGTCTATATATATATTATTACTTAAAAGCATCACCATTGACGAAATTTTCATGACCCTTCAAATGCGTAATAAGTCATAGTTATTTGTGAATTTTCTAAGTGTTTTTTTTAAGAAAAAACAAAAACCCATAAAAATCTAATTAATGTGCTCTTGTCACCCTTAAAAGAGAGCATCAGGAATTAAGAGCAGAGAATTGAATGCATATTAAATAAATACAACATAATGTATGTTTAATTCATATTCCTTATTGGCCTTTGAGGAAGATGGAGATTGAGTGCTGGAATGGGATGGTGAAGAAAGAGAAGGAAGGGGAGGGCAAGGGCAGGAATGAAGGGAGCAAGAGAGAAGGATAAGAGGAGAGCAAGCATGTTCTGAGGAAGAAAGACTTAGCAGATTTTGAGGTGACTTTTTTATTCTGTGTCATGGATAAAGATTTTCTGGCTATCTGGTCCTCTTAAACTTTCGATCCCATTAATCACTGTTTACAGTTTTCCTGTTTTTGTAATCCTTACTTTTAGAGACTCTACTCCCAGTGGAATAAATGAATCACCTTAGTATGGTAGAAATTTTCCAAACGATGAAGCAAGAGCCACTGGAGGAAAAAGTCAGTTCTCTGATTAGATGAAATCAGTTTTTGCCCATATTTTCATCTGTTAAAGTGAAGCCCCTACATAGGACAAGTTACAGTGAGTCCTAAGCTTTTGAAATTGAGTTTTGGCAAAGTTTGATTTTTCAAAAAGGATTTTCTTTGTTGTGAGACTCTTTTATTTGAGGATATTATATTTTATTGTGAACCTTTTATGTCTTCTCCTTTTTCTGTCCTCTGTCATCTCAAATTACTGTGGAGCAGAGATCAGAGTCCAGCTGTGGAGGTTGTTCTCCATTTGGGGAAAAAATACCGTGTGTTTCAAGTGTAGGCTGATCTGTAATTACTTGGGTAAAATGATAATGGATTCTAATAATTGAACTTTTTAGAGGATTTTCCCTGGTAAGATGCATTTCATTCCTTCCTAGTATTTGCTCATCTTTTCACCAGAATTAACAACAACAAAAGGAAGGTAGATGATTTGATGAACCTTATGTTCATTAGAAAAGGCAAAATGGACAATTTCAGGAAAACAAACAAAAATCAGATGGATGAAAAAAATCAGATCAGATGGAAAAAGTGAAATCTTTCCTCCAGTGCTTATAAAAAGCTAATTTCTGTCTCCCACTTTTCCACCTCCTACTTTCTTTTTTTGCACGTACTTATTTTTACAGGCCTGGGAGTTTTTACTGAGCATTCACTACTCTTATCTCAGTTCTTCCTGCTTGCGTCTCTTTTTTATTTTTGTGTGTTTGTTTTTCTGACACGTATTCATCAAAGTCCACGTTGGAGTGCAGACTGGGCCTATCTCATTGTAGCTGACATCATCCTCACTCTGAGCCAGCCCAGCTCGCCTCTCATTCTGGTTTCTGAGGCTGTGTTCTCCAGTCCCCACCCCCTCCGCCTCCACCACCACTGATAGGGATGTATGTGAAGTTCCCAGGGTGTCTGTTAATGTCCCGTTGCCAGCTCCTGGATAATAGCCAGTGTTAGCTCACAGAAGCTTAATGATGAATCCATATCTGTCATGAGCTGGAATTGATGCAGGGCACATAGTAGGTAAGGGCTTAATAAATGTTTGATAGACCAATAAAGAAATGAATGTGCAAAGGAGTATAGCTCATAACTGAAGTCCTTAAGGAGGGAAGCTGTTTAGGCAAGCCCTTCTGTCCATAAGTATAGCCAATTAAGTGTGCAGCTAGAAGCATGCGTGTGTCCCAGTCTCCATTAGTGATCACAGACTGCAGCCTTCACTTTCCCTGGTGAATTCATATGCAAGCTGACCTGACAGGAACTACTTGCACAGTGAGTAATCACAGGACTTCCCAGAGAAAAGGATGTCAGGATGGGGATTCTGCATTTAGCTTCACCGTTTGTATGAAATGACTTTCTATATCCTAACGACTTGAAGGATCAGAACTCATTGGAATTCTTGAGATAGAACCTTGCAAAATCTGACTTTCTCACGTTGATTAAGAGCAAAACCATCTCTGACAAATTAGGGGATAGAATTGGCAAGGCCCAATTCTCCGAAAGTCCTGGGATTTCACATTTTGCACATGTGCTCTCATTTCATTGTGTTTTAACCCACGTTGCTATTATATAGAGCATTTTAGCAGCCTTGATCTTGGAGACATCAAGACCATTATTCCTGTTGTTGCTGATTTAGTGTTACAGCTGCTTCCTCTTTATGTGATTTAATTTGAAGTTTCAGCCCACCAGGGGGCTATTGGTCCCCACCTATCCATGGTTTTCTGCATGGATGTTATCTCCATTCCTATTCATAGTGATCGTCTCCCTTCTATATTCATCTAGCAACAGCAAGGCACTGTTCCAGGAACTCGCTCTCCCTACATAAGGCGTAACATGGAACCATTTGGATGGAAAAATTATAAATTAAAATTATTCTGTTCATTTTAAAATATTCATATTGTGTTGCTCAAGTGCCAGTAACTGGAAAATCATGGATAATGTCCTGTTTTTATAACCTCTTTCAGAGTGTTTTAAAATCCATATATGTTGTTACTTTAGCCGTCTCTTTTCCTGGAGTGGATTTTGTGATAAGTTTAAAAACACCGCCCCCCCCAAAAAAAGGTTGTAGGAGTCCACTGTATAATGGTATATGTAATATTCAAATAAAGATGATACCACTAATTGCAACCCTTCTTTTTAAAATAGAAAAATATTTACTCCATGTACGGAGAGTATTTATAAAATTGTCAGACTACAAAGGTAACCTATGAACATGGCAGACTATTTCTTTTGAAGAGAAAACTTTTTATTAAATGATTAAAACTAAGCAAATTTTTATTGATTTCTGGAACTACATGTTTAATTGAAATAAAGAAAACCCATATATTCGTAGCACTGCTGATTTGCAGATACTGAAAACATCTCCAACTTTTTAAATAGGGCTGGGTTTTTTTGGTTTTTTTTTTGATACCTCCAGTTCTCTATGCTAAGTTATTCTTTAATTTCAGGAAACTAAAATTTTATTTCTATCCTCGTATTTTCTGTGTTGTATGGGTGTGTGTGAGGATGTGCATGTCTCAGAAAGATAGACCCGTAGGGAAAAGTGAAACATGTTGTTATGTGGTTTGGCTGGTTTTTGGGAAAGTAAATATATCTCTTATTCTAGAGGAAAGAATAGTTATTGGAGATCTCAGCTTCATGTATATTTTTCCACCTCTGTGGAAGGCATTAAAGAGAGTAAAGGCCTTTACTTTTCGCTTCTCTTTTCTGTAAGTTTTTAAGTTCACATTCACCAAAAGCCACATGTTTTATTTGTTGTCTCTCTTGGCTAAGACTCTTTAAATGTATTTTTAAAATTCTTCTCTTCCATCAACTAAAGACAATTTAAAATTATAATTTGAAGACTCTTTCTAGAAAAGTATACTTTTGGGTCAGGCTGTCGTTTTTGTGGGCCTGGTGTGTGTGCTGAGGTTCTTCTGAAGCAACAAATCACTTTAGCATGAACAAATTTCACAGGGCTATTTGATTGTTGGTCTTAGCTTTGTGTGAATCATTTGGCCTTTTAAAACAGGCTAATCCTTTAATCGAATATGCTTTCAGAAAGGTTCTGAAAACCTGGGTGGCTCTTGCTAACTCTGTTTTATTCATTTTAAATAATACTAGATTATCCAGACGTATTTCTTTCTGATTTTTGGAAGGATGTTATTGCAGGCCATAATATTTGAAGTCAGGATTCTTTATAATAACAATAACAACAAAACATACAGACATTGTCCTAAAGTCTGATTGATGGAAAATAGGATGCAGGCTGTCAGTAAACAGGTTCTTCGGCACAAATACTTAGTTTATACAGCAACCAACTTCCTTGAGTGCAGCAATACAGAGCACTCTACTCTTAATTGAATAAAGAAAACAAATTAGAATAGTTACTGCAGGAGAAATGGGTACCTCATAATTAATAATTTGTGAGTTAAACCTTAACTACACTTGACATTTTTCTTTGGGTTGTTGACAGACTGATTAGTGAGTTAACTCCTGATGGTACCTATTCTGTTCAGTGACTGTTTCAGTTCCAAGGCTTACGGTGCTCAATAAAATAGGTATTCATTGTGATGGGATTGTCGCTTTAGTCCTGATCAAAGTGCTTTGGAGGAAGCACGGTTGAACTGATTGGCTGTGAATGTTAATCACTCCATAGGACTCACCGATAATTTACAGCATTGTTGTAACTCTCTGGTGTTCATAAAATGAACTTAATAACCCAGTGCCACCATGGGATAAGCTGCTTTTTTTCTGCAATTGAATACCCAGACTGCCTGCATAATGGTGTTGAGTAATACTGCATTAAAAAGAGTGAACAGCTGTATGATGAGGGAAACAGCTCTGCAACAGATTTGTTAATTATCTCCTTTGATTCACAGAGGGTGTTTGTGAGATATGGTTGACCAGTGAAGACACAGGGGCTTACGGCAGGGACATTGGCACCAATCTCCCCGCACTGCTGTGGCAACTGGTTGAAGTGATTCCTGAGGGAGCAATGCTGAGGCTTGGCATGACAAATCCACCCTATATTTTAGAGCATCTGGAGGTAAGGAAAAGCACCCCATTTCCCTGCTGACACAGACACGAACCAGTCCAAGACAATGTGGCAGCCTCAGCCTCAGCACACGGATTACATTTAAAACCTCTTGCACTTTATTTATTTATTTATTGTGGTCCCATGTTACTAAGAATAAGTGGAGAATTTCAAATCCTCTTCCGTCAGTCTGCACATCTTGTTTTTGCTTGCTCTCAATGAACGTTGCTTGGATTTTCTAGCGCATGCCATCTCGTCACAGTTCTTTGTTTCTTCTTTGCAGCCCCTCAGACTCCCTTTGCATAAATTTGCCTCAGTTCCTTTACTCAGTACCTGGTCTAGTCTAGTTTAGGCATGCTAAGACATTGCATTAATTTTGCAACCGGTTGTGAGCACGTTATCCGAACTGCTGTGAGCCCTATCAGTAAGGATACTGGGCTGTAAGTTTGAGGATATTTTAAATCTCCTCCCTTTGTCTGGAGACAGTTAGGGATGAAGTGCAATCCTAGAGAGACAGAGCTTGGTATTCCTCTCCTTGATTCTCTTGTGGTCACTGTGAACACGAAGGGGTTGTGGCAATGGGAGATGCCTGGTCTCATTTGTATCCCTTCCCCGGGTCAGGTACTTACCCTCAAGGAGCTTACCATGAAACTAGAAAAATGGGCATGTGTACAAGTATCTGGCATTGGATGACAATTGCCACAGTAAATATGAGCAAGAAATAGGGATATTTAAATGAAAAAGTGCATGCCAGGATCCATGACAGCTGTTTGAGGAATAAAATAATTACATTGGACCCATAGTTATGGATAAGAAAACTAATAACTGCTGTTTGAAAATCATGTACAAAGTATAGAAAGAGGCACTTATATTTTTATCAGTTGTGTTCTTTACAGTTACTTTGTGCAGGAAAAAAACATTCCCAAATCTAAAAGCAAGCATAGCTGCTAAAATTTAATGCACAAATCCCAATGAAAAGTCAACAATTGCAAAGATTGTTTTTGTTGATTTGATTTGAGGCCTGTATTTGTTGAAGTTGTGCTGAAAAGCCTCCCTCATATCAGCAGCGTATTTTAGAAATTCTGAAAACAGATTCGGTAGCAGTCTGATTGTTAATTATAAATATACAGTGAAGAAATTCAGCAGTTTCAGTTTTGTTTTTCACATATTCTCTAGCCAGATCTTTTTAGTAAAGGTATATAATTAATAGGTTAGTACTTTGGACAGTGGGGACAGTTAAAATTTGCTATTGAAAAATAAGTTGCACGTATGTCAATTTATACGTAACCCTTTGACCCAACACTTGAAAAAAGCAAGTGACTTCTCTGTAAAAATCAAATATGGTAAGTCCTGCTGCATTTGAAGTAAAGGTGGGCATCTACCAGGCGATATGCTAGATGTGTGGTTTGAAAAAAATCTCATCGAGGACCAAGGGAACCATAGTACTAGAATCAGCAAAGTTCAAGTAGGGAGTAAACGTAAGGGGGAAGATCATGCATAGACTCTGAGATGACTGAATAAAGTATCTCTTGGAATAAATTCAGCACTTCAGTTAATTGCAAGGTTACAGAAGCGAATGCTGCATTTATAGCAAATCCTTCTGCTCAGTATCTAAAGTAGTGGGGGAGTTGTTGACCTCCAAATGCATGCTCCAGGAGAGCTCTGAAAATCAGCAGAAGTTGCTAAACATAACTTTACACTTTACCTGGAAAAACACCAGCTGTTTAGTTCATAGATTGTGGTTGGAGTGATAACAAGTTCTGATTGTCATGATGTTACCCTTTTAAAACTCTCGTTGTCAGATATCTGTAATGTTGGCCTTCCCTCCTCCATTGTCATCTTTATAAGGCAAGGACCTTGTCATTTCCATCTCTGGGTGTACCCTACCCATTCACTCATTACATTTCAGTAAATGAGTGAATCAAGAATGGATAAAGGAAGGGCCTTCTTTGAAAAATAAATTACAGAGCCCACTCTATAGCCTCGACCTTCCAAGTCTTAACATTCTGGTCAGGAGAGGCTGTAGAAGTTGTCCCAAAGAAAGGCACTCACTTCTCTGCTGTAGAGAAGCTGGGAATCATCCAGCCCTGTCATACCCACACCAAGGGAGAAGGCAGTCCAAAGGAGAACAGAGCAAGTGAAAGAAAGAAGCCAAGGTATGCAAGAGGAAAAGACTCGTGCCATCTGAAAGGAAGAGCTTGAAGAGTCTTCCTTTGACGCTTGGACAAGACCTTCATACCTTGGCCTCGGCGGTTCTTCACATTCTCCTCTGAGTGGGAGAGCCCAGAGCTTGCCATGTCCCCCAGACACACCATTCATTGTGTAACAGGAAAAGGAACTGAGCTGCAGAGGCTTCCCCGGCTCCCCCGTGTGAAACAGGACATCAGAAAAGGGAGCCCAACCCTGTTGAGCCTCAGCCCGTGCCCACCAATGCATTGTGCTTCCCCATTTTCCTCTCTCTAAGCCTAGGGCACTCTACTGAAATTACCTGACTTATCTAAAGAGTGCTGGAGAGAGTTCACCAATAAGAAGAAAAAAGAAAACAGGAGAAAAAAATCAAAACAAAAATAACACAGGTGAATGACAGGTGGTGATGTCTTTTAAACTGTGGGGATAGAAGGAACCCACTCTTGCAATAACTACTTTGATGCTTTAATACCCTCGCAGTGAGGGTTCCTTGATAATTGTATTGGTAGGACCATGCCTTCTTAGGTTTCTGGAAGATGCTTCATGCTTCAGACTTTAATTAGAGAGCACTTCTCTGGGCTCTTTTCCTTCCCTTTCTTTTCCTTGTTCTGTTTACTTCACATTCACCTGACTCTTGCAGTCTTTCTTAAAACCCTTTTACCAACTTGCTTGCTTGTGTATGTGTGTATGTATTTAATTGAACAGCTTAAAGGGGAATTTTTTTCTTTTTGAGAGAGAGAGAGAGAGTAAAAGAGTGGTGGGGGCCACAGAGGGAGAGAGAGAATCTTAAGCAGGCTCCACACCCAGCCTGGAGCCCGACACGGGACTTGATCTCACAACTCTGAGATCATGACCTGAACTGAAGTCAAGAGTCAGATGCTTAACCCATTGAGCCACCCAGGTTTCCCACAAAGGGGAAATCATTTAAAGGAAAATATCAAAGTTTCTGTCATTATTTAAAAGTACAATGTGGAAAAATAGATCTGTTGATACTCCTATTTATTAAATCTCCATAGGAACAGAAGATGCATATTATAGTTAACATAGGATGTACTTTTAAGGTTTTATCATGCATCTAGGGGCTCCTGGCTGGCTCAGTCAGTGGAGCATGTCACTCTTGATCTCAGGGTCATGAGTTCAAGCTCCACATTGAGCATGGAGCCTACTTAAAAAAAGAGTCTAGCATTATGTGTGGCACTTTATGTAGTAGAGGTTGAATAAATGTGTAGTGAATAAAAGGGAGGGAGGGAGAATTCTTAATCCTTAACAGGCAGGCAAGAAGTCAAGTGTTGTTTGGAACATCTACAAACCCTAATTTTAACATACTGCTGCCTTAAAAAAATAATTTGAGATTCATTTTAAGTGATGAGGTAGCTGACAAAGAGATATCTCAAACATTTGTACTTACGTATATGTATCTTGGAAAAGCATCCTAGAATTGCAGAAACATAAGTATAACCTTATGCAGTACTTATTAAATATGGACATGAGGTTGAAACAATAGACAAAACAATGGATTAAAACCTATCTTAGCTCATCTTAAAGACTTCAGCACCTGTCCCTTACCCACAGGAAGAAGATACACTCTTTAGCTTGGCATACAGCAGCCTTAAGATGCCTTCATCCAGTGCATCCCCGTGTTCTCATCCCCTTAGTACTCTGCGATGCCTCCTGCATTCGCGGGTTTTTCATACTCGGGAAATTTCTACTTTAACTTTTTCTCTTTCCATTCTTACCACGTGATGACCATCGGTAATGAGTGAATCAGACATACTGCCATTTGCTACTACGTGTGTTGACTAATATATGGCCCCTATCATGGCAGATAAGAGAGATTTTCGCTCTGTGTTTGCTCTCCTATTGATATTACTAAGGTAATAACCCTGGCCTCTTCCTCTTGAGTGAACCTCTGACCTTTACAGAAGGTGGTGTGGCCGGTGAACTTGACCACTCGTGAACCGCATTGCTTAGTGTTGCCCTCCTAGTTGTAGGTAGCCCGCAGCTAAGGTATTAATTCAGACAGTACGATACCTGTGAACCCCACACAGCGTCTGGAGACCAGTGGCGGTGACACCGTGGCTACCTGTCCTAAGGCACCAGAGATCACTGGTACCTTTTTTCAAGACGGCATAATAATAACATCAGTACAGTTTATCAACTGCTCCTTATTTTCAAGAAACCACGCTGATTGCTTTCCACACATCATCTCTTTTCCTTCTTAAAATAAGCTACCTATAGAGATATTATTCTCCTCATTTTATTGATTTAGAAGCCACATCTTAGAACGCTTTAATTATTGGTCAAATTACATAAGTAGTTAGCACCCGGACTGGTTTCTTATCTTGTCTGATTCTACAATGCTTTCTACTGCACTGCATCTTTTCACAGAGCCTTCCCGAATGCTCCCAGATTCCCTCTGTGCTCTGTCAGACTCTGTCCAGCATATCTCTGGGCGCTCATCACCATGCTCTGTGATCACTTGTTTACATGTAAACCGAACAGAACTGTTGCCACCTTTTAGGGAGAGGCTATCTTGGTCACATCTTTGCAGTTCAGGGCCTGTGATGACATGCCTAATGAATGTGTACGGAATGATGTGATTTCTCTGAAGTTTAGCTGTTCCTTGACTGAATGTCTCATATACATTGAAGTATCTTCATATCTGTGCTGACATCTAGTTTTGGAAGACTTTGTGGATGGTTGTCACGTGTGTTTCTCACCTATGAGTCACTTCTGTGAAGAGGTACGAGATGGTGAGGGAAGATCTGTCTAAGGGATGAGTTTTACTTATTTCCCCTGCTAAAATATCATAATGATAGATAGTA